CATTCATTTGACGGTGTTTTTGTAGTCATCAAATGACATGTTGGTGTTGGATTGAGACACATCATCTTGCGAAGGCAATCTTTATAAGATGTAAGTGGCATGATAGTTCCAGCAGTAAGATTGGCAATATCTTCTCCATTTAACATCAGCTTAACATTTTGATGGTAGGTACAAACACATACCATATGTGTTCCAGAGTCGCCAGCGAGGATACATTGCTTGGGTCTTAGAGTAAAAAACTTTCTTAAGCCTACCTGAATATTCGAATATTCGTCTTTGAACTTCTGATAAAGTTCATCAATGTTGCACATTAGAAGTTGTTTTTGTAGATGCGTTCTTTTGCCATTATCTAATTTAACAGATATAAAATATTTTTTACCAGGCAATATTCGGCTAATATCTTTTCGGAGGTAAAAACATTTAACTAAGTTTTCGGTCTCAATTAGTAGTTTACGGCCACCACGTGGGTTTGGAGATGACAAGACACCGAATCGATCTACAAGTTGCTTTGCTTTTCTCGCTTGCCGTCTAGATGTGCCAAATTCTTCCGCAAGTTTATTTTCACTCCATGACTTAGGCGCAATAGTCAGTAGGTAACATAGTCTTCATAGAATTTGAAGTAGACGGATCATTAAATTTTTCTTTTAGTTGCTTTAAAGTTTCTTGGTTTTCTAGAACTGTTTCAGTTTGAGTTGAATTATGATTAAACTTATCTTCAGGAATGAACGGTTCATCTTGGGTGTTTTGCGAAGTTTCACTCGATGTTTGGCTGCACTGTAAAATATCTTCATTAATTTTTACTGGAGGTGTTTCATTTAAGACCCTTTTCCTACAAGATGCACATACATAAACATCGAGTGAAAATCTCCACTTTTGAGCCAAATGTTCAGATATTTTCCTTAAATTTTTAAACTTTCGATGAAGTACCAAGCGAAATGGATTAAAACATCGATCACCGTACGGAGCCATTATAAATCAATAACTTTCTTAAAATGTGCACAATTCACTGAGAGATTAAAACAACAACTACAGAACAAACGAAAAATACGAAATGGCTTAGCTTCTATTTGTCATTTTAATACTTCTCGTATCTAAGAGATGGCGCTAGCAGTCGCTTTTTACTGGTAAGTATATGGCTTTTTATTACTTATCACAAAATTTGTTTTAGACTACTGCTTCCTACTAATATTTTTGTTTAATAAGTACTATTTTAATTTGAATAATAAATACCCCACAACATTGTTAAAGCTTTAAATACGATTAAATAGTAAAGTAAATATAAATATTGCAGCGGTTTAGTGTAATATCGCGCAAACCAGAAAGCTAGAGTACGACGCTCAGTGCGGCACGTATGTACTTTAATTCATTTATCTCCTAAACTATTGCAGATCCCATTTTGAAACTTCTGGTGTATTATAAAATTTATTAATGTACTTTAGGCTATATTTTGAAATAAAAAAAATTGGTCGAAGTTACTAAAATTCTGATTTGAAAAGTTTATTTCCGGTTTTGTATATTAAAAAAAAAATAAAAAAGCCCGTCTTATGTTGTATTTAAAAAGAACAGTAAATTTTCTATTTAAGTCGCCATATTAAATATTTTAAAATAAATTTGTTTAATTCGAAAAACTATTTCCAAAAAATACGAATTTCAATAACGACAATTCTTTAGAAGTCAATAACTTTACAATTAAACATCATACAAAAAAATATTGTGTGTCCACATTCATACCCAGGGCCGGATTTACGAATTTGCCGCCCATGGGCCCAACGCATCATTACCCCGAATAACGAATGACTCAGCGAATAAGCTAGAGTCGCACCCCACTCGCCTCGTGTACATCGACTGCCGCCCTTCTACGCAGTGACGCACTACGCAGAATAATAGTGTAGTCTGATATAAAATTATCTAATGTATTAAAAAACTTCTCTTCCAACTTTTTATAGTTTTAATTAGTGTATAAATCTGAGTGAAAACAAAAATTCTGCATAAAACGCTCTTGATTTTTTAGCAAAATTTTAACTGGCCTTCAAAATTTGCCGCCCCTAAAAATTTGCCGCCCTGGGCCCGGGCCCATGCCTAAATCCGGCCCTGTTCATACCTACTAGAAGTATAATTAAGCCGAAAATGAACAAATTTCAGAACGTCACTTTTTTTTCGCTGTCCACTTCACGTGAAATGCCCCAGTAATAGTTGTGTCAAAGAAAAGTAACAATGTTTAATTCTCAAAGTGATAGTGATACTTCGATAACCGGAACTCCTCCGGAACTAAAAATTGCTGCAAATTCGGCAGTGTCGCAGTACCTGAAAAATCAAAGAAGCAGTATGAAAAATGTTACAAATACTTTAAAGACTGGTGCAACAGGAAGGACGCCAAAAGTTTATCTAAAAATGTATTATTAGCTCACCTTATAGAAAAATCGAAGACCTTAAAAAGTTCAAGCTTATGGAGGGTGTATTCAATGCTTAATTACTTAAGTGTATGCTTAATATAAAAAAAGGCATAGACGTGAGAAAATATTTGTTGGTCCATTTTTTAAAGAAATAGTTTGTTATAGAGCCAATTACGATATTTTTGGAAAAAGCTAGTGACGAAAATTATTTGCTGTGGAAGGTAAATATAAAAAAAATTCCTTAAGAATGGTTTAATTTATTGTTGTTTGTTTATTAGTTTTAATTATGGGATTATCGGGGGCCATGAGACGTGATGAGTTAACAAAAATAACCATTGAAGATATTCAGTACAACAACAATGTTCTAATAGTAACTTTTCCCAAAACTAAAACGGACATAAACCGCACGTTCACTAAATAGTAAATCGTAATATTACGAATCCAAAGTATATAACACTACATATCGAAAATATGCTGCCCTACGCCAGAAACATGTTACCAGTCGACTATTTTTGAGATACGAGAAAGGAAGGTACCATGCTCAAGTTATTGGGGTACATACGATTGGAAAAATTCCGTGTTTGATAGGGAATTACATGAAATTGGCGAATAGTGAGCAGTACACAGGCCATATGGAACAAAAAAATACATTTTTAAAATATTTTTTAGCTTTATATAATAATAATAAATAAAATAAATAAATACAAAATATGACATTTTTAGTAATTCCTACATCTAGGTACACTATAAACATATACATATATATACAGGGTGCACCAAGTAAATTGCGTAAATAGAAATTTATTAAAATGGCATTTAAAAATTAATCTTCATTATTTTTGAGAATTTAAAGAAAGGTAAGTTTTACATGTAGACATACATATCTTGGGTTTATAGTTTTTTTTTCAAATATTTTGCAAACCGCTGGTCAGTTTCAAATCAGTCGGGTAAGAGAGTGGATGTGTGAGTTCGAGCGCTCTTAGTACCTATCCACAATAAAATTCTTAAAGAAACATAAAATTATATACAGTGTTAAATAATTCCTCAAAAGGCAATCTCTCAACGATGAACACAGGGGTGAGGTCCGTGCGGACACAGAAGTAATAAAGTGACAGGGGACAGGTCAAGGAATCACCTATTTAAAGAAAAAACGAGTCTAACCAAGAGTGGAAGGGATCATCACCTGCAGATTCTGATAAGTATTATTGCATGACCTAATACACAAATCTGTAAAAAACCTGGCAATAATTAATCATAGAGAGGAGTGTAGGAGTGTGAAAAAACCAAATCAAGTAAGAACTTCACAATATTATATTATTGTATTATATATATATTATATAATATAAGTATAAAATTACAGGCCAGTCCTAAAATAAAGCTTTTAAAAGATAACGAAAGTAAAATAAACATTCTCTTAAACAAAACGAGCACGTAAAATTGTAACGTAAACAAACCATACCTATATTAAAGCAACGCCTGCCATTAGGGCCGTATTCCAAATTTTAATACGATACACCACAGGGCCGGCTTTATCCTATGTATAGTATTAATTACAATACAAACTTGGTATAAAATAAAATGTTTGCTAAGTATTAATTAAAGGTTAATTAAATGGGATAATACATTAATTTAACAATAAACAAACTGCGAGACCATCTCGAGTATAAAAAAACAAATGATAGAAACAGTAAATTAAAAAAAAAAATACAATTTCTTAATTGTTAAATAGAAAAAGAATGCGTAAACACAATTCCTACCACAACAAGAAAACAACGAATAGGTTAAAGGTGAATGGTAAATGGTATAATACAATAAATACAATAAAATAAATTTAAGAATATACAAAAAGATACTAAGAATGTGGGGAATGTAAAAACAACACCCCATTGGTGTAAACAACTGAGCTCAGCAGATTCCGAATTCCGGCAGACCCGGACAGAGACCCAGATGAATACAAGACCAGCAAGGATGTCCAAACAATGTACTAATAACCCAAGCCTCATTCATGAACCTCAATTGAATCGGGTCATTACTAATACCCTGGTTGAGGGGGAGTCCGGATTGTACTTAGTTTTGGGTCAGTTCAAGGCCCCCAAAAATCAACTTTTGCCCCTCCTAGTCCTACACTCCACTAGCCTAAATCGGGCGTATGGTCGGCCCGGCGACAAAATTCCGGGATATATATTTAAATATTAATCAGGCCTATTGTACACTGGGCGAATCTACAGCTGATCAATCTGGTAACAGCTAATCGCTTCACATGAGCGCTTGTTCTCCCGCTTGCTAGATTTATTTAGAACCCCTTCGGGGTTTTCTATGGACAGTAACAAAGAGTGTTCTTTGGTCAGTATCTTCATTGTAACCAAGCACGGCACGTCGTACGTCTCGAACCATTTTTCTTTACACTGTTATTAAGCAATATATGTACTCAAACGAGACGTAGTTATATCTTAATTGTTTTATTGTGAATAATTACAATTAACTTGGCATATAAGTAGAATCTGCTCACCGCATTCACGGGGCTGAAATGTCTATACGTGCAATACAAACAAACTTATTACTTACCTTCAATGTTTTAACAATAAATGTGAAATTAAGCAAAATGCCCCATGTTAAACGCTTTTATTTATTGTATTAAATGTACATATTATGTTATACATTCTTATAAGGGAAAAAACAAAATAACCGTATACGGAAATTAATGCTAGAATATATAAAAACCAAATACTTAATTAGTTTAAATTACTTCCTCTGAAAGAGCACCTTGTGAATGGTGTCAAGATCAGGCACTAACTTATTTGTTGGATTTGGATTCTGTATTACCTTCCTAACGGCGAGCATACTGGAAAAAAATAGGAAAAATTAGTAGAGCCTGTATAATAATGTAATATTATTTGGATATAAAAATTTTATTATAAAAAAAAAACTATTAAACACAAGTTTGTCATAAAATTAATTGAATTAATCTTAAAAAAAGTTGTTGATTTCAAATTTTTATATTTTGGTACGCAAACAATGGAGTCCTATTTCTTTTTTTCTAAAAGTTTTATTTAAGGAGAAAACGACTAAATGGTATATTCCATTAAAGAAATGGTATGAAATATATATTGTGTACTATATATATATATATATATATATATATATATATATATACATAAACTATATATTATATATACAAACTTAATGTTTACGCCTCTTATATATTTAAATAAGGAAGGTAGAATTTTTTAACTATTTCCTGGGATTCCTGGGTTTTTGTAGATCATTCACATTGTGCGCGACTTCTAGTACACCTTGTATATACAGTGTGGCCCATTTAGGATGAAAACACCCCCGTAGCTTTTGTATTTGTAACTCGATTTTAATGAACAAAGGGTCAAAAGATAGATAATAAAAAACTGTATGTAAGCAGAAAAATTGTTTTCAATGTCACCTGACAGATGCCTACTATAACATTTTTCTGTCAAAATTCGGAAAACATTATTACACTCACAGACCAACAAACAAATGGACCGGTTTATTTACATTTAAAAAAATGGAAATAAACAAAAATAAATATTTTCCCTCAGTTGTCACATCTGACTTTATTTGCTTTGAAGTATTTATATTTTACGTAAAAGATACTTGGAATCCACAACTTATTTAATATTTTTTATTTGATTTTATAGTGAAAAATACCAATAGTGAGTGATATAAAAATGGTGAAGCAGTGCTACGTTTGTAAAAGACTTGGATCCAAGAATTTAAAACTTTCTTTTTATAGTTTAGTTTATTTATAAAACAAATCCTGCCAGGGGCGTAGAAACTAAATAAATAAATAAATGAATTTCACTTAAATTTTAGATTTAAAGAGCCAGCTTCTGGACAAGGTTAGTATTTTGTTATATCTATATATTTATATATATTAAATATAATTTTTACATAGGATTGAAAAACATAAAAAAATGTACAATTTAATGTTTTTATTTATTTTTAATATTTTTATTTAAATTATACTCCCAAAAACAGAACGCCACTGGTGTGGGAACTTGTTTATAAACACCCCTCCCCTTACTCCTTTACCCCTAATCTACATAAATCGTTCTTGGCAACAAAACATTGTGTATTTTGAATGGGAAAGGCCAGTCCATTTTGGGTACATACCAAATTTTATCAAAAATGTACAATATTAACTATTTAAGACAAGTTTATTTTAAGTTTTAAAAATAAATTGATACATTTGATAAGATTGTTTAAAGTTGTTAGCATGGCTATCTTAGCTTTTGGTTTTGTAGCAATTAATGTTTAAACTTTTCTAAAATAGTATAAATAAATAAAATTTTATAGTCAGCTGACATTAAAAACAATTTTTACAGCTTACATAGAGTTTTTTGTTACGTATCTTTTGAGCTTTTGTTCATTAAAATCGAGTAACAAATACAAAAGCTATGGGCCACAATCTAAATATAAGATATATTATTAAGACTGCCGGATTAAGATCAGTTTGTGATTTCGACATGGGTCAATGACTTGAGATAAGTCCCAATCAGTCTAAATCACGCAATACATTATTTGAACCATTTCTTAAAATAACAAATTCCCCAAATTTCCCGAAAGATAGACGCAAAATCCACAAATTGGGGTCTTCATTTTAACTCTCGCGTACAGCTGCTTATGGCACGGCAAAATTAGGAAGTAAATATGTTGACCCCAATTTTTTCATAAAGCGTACATTTTTCGTCCAGTTGGACAATAATAACGAATGTAACAAAAATGCTTCATTCCTATTGAAAGACAATTTAACTGTTATGATTTTTAATGGCAAAATCAAATTGTTAGTTATGAGAACCATTTGTTTTTTGTACATAAAAAGTACCTACTTAGTAGTTATTGAGTACGAAAAATATAAAAAAACATCCAATTAACATAAATTACCAAGTAATCCTTAACTTATTAGACTAAGTATAAATAAATTATCAATTTTATTGTTAAAATAGTTATATTTTTTATAATATCTATGTTAAAAATAAAGGTTGGCTCAAAATTGTGGAATAATGAGTGTAACTTTTGAAATATCGAGAGTATTGTTTTACCACTGACTCTGTATGTGGAGATTAGAAAACCGTTCAGCATGAATGTAACCTCATCCGAAAATAACATTTATCCGAAATCGGCAGTAAAGTAGTCAACAATCGGCAGTAAAGTAAAATAAATCGGCAGTAAAGTAGAACTTTACTGTCGATTTAATACGAGTATTGTATCCAACCCATTATACATTTTAGGATGTGTCTACTGCTACTCAGCAGCAACTAAATAATATTTAAAAAAAGCATTGTCGCGGAGGTCGATTGGACCCTTTTATAAAATGTTGTTTAATAAAAATAATAAATTTATTTTATTAATTAGGTTAAAAAATCGCCGCGGCGGGCAAATATATCATAACCGTCGCAACAAACAGTATACGTAGACACTTACCTACATTCAAATGACATTTGATTTGATCATCAAATGGCATTAGATTTGATCATCAATATTAATTATTAGTATTATTAAATGTGATTTCGGATAAAATTAAATATGCACCTCGGCATTGGTCATTTTTTATCACTTACGTGGTTATTTGCCTCGGCTTTCCACAATCCGCAATAAATTCCACATTCGTGATAAAAAATACGACTTTACTGCCTTGATAAATAACTATTTTCATGAGAAAATTGGATACTGATTACAACGTTCAATCAAAATAACCAAAAACTAGAAAGTAGAAAAATAATGTTGTAGTTTTGGTTCCAGGCAAGACGGTGGTTTGACAGTGGTATTCCCTATTGCTAGGTCCCTAGACCCAGCAGAGCCACTGTCTTGCCGTTTTTATGTTTCATTTTGAATAAAGGTTTTTTGAATTCTAAGCCATTTTGCTCAAAAATATTCTTATGTAACATACTGATATTAATACACCGTTGTAATCAGTAAAATAGCCTCTTTTAAAATCTGAGCTAAAAAAGGGGGGTTAGGTACTATTTAAAAAAGTTGGCTCCCTTGAGGGGATGCGTATTTTTTTCCAAGGTGGCAATATTACCATACAATTTGAAATAAACCAAAAAACAACTTTTATTAAAATTACTATGTATGTTTGATATTTCAAAACATATACCAATTATTCCACATTTTTGAGCCACCCTGAAAATTATTGTGATGATGATGAAAAAATGAACAATCAATGTACAGATCCTGTTAATAAATCAAAAAAAAAACTAATTTATGTATCCCATTCTTTAAAACTTAACCCCTGACATTTTAATTTGTGGTCAAACTCACCCCTGTGAATCTGCCTTAGCTAGTGCAGGAGCTGTAGGATGATTTAAAGGTCTCTTATTTACCAATAGACATTTCATGGGTTGTCCGTCCAACTGGCGGTTGTGATAAGTATCCACGGCTTTTTGGGCATCCTTTAAGTTCTTGTAGATCACCTCTGCCACGCCGGGACGCACCAATCTGGCTGCCAACAGTTGACCGATGTCTTCGAAAAGTTCCTGAATAAAATTTGTAGTTTTAGTAGGAATTTATGTAGGTATTATATTGGGAAAATTCCTTAAAGTTAACATAGATTTTAATATATTACGAGTTCAAAACTGTGCAGGAGATTAAAATTTTATTTTGAATCGGTAAATGGATTGTAACTGTAGGACCGGAAGTTCAATACTCCCCAGGCAGTTTATTCTATATTACGTGCAGGGTGTCCCACCTTAAAGGTGTATGATCTACAGACCCCCAGGTCCCAGAAAATTGTTAAAAAATTCTACCATAATTATTATATATTATATAAGAGCGTACATATTGAGATTTTAAACTTAACACTTTGACGGACACACTAATAACAGATTTAGTGCCAAAAAAGCACTTTTTGATACATTTTTTTATAGAAAAATCAAGCCGACGGGTATATACGTCCTGCCCTATCAAGCCGCACTTTAGGCTCACATAGGCATTGATGTATATGGACAAACAGTTACAAAAACACACTAAACCAATAAACACGACAGCATTTGTTCGATTCAACTAATAGGTTTACTAACTAAACGACAAATAGCTCGTAACATAACCAACAATGTGACTAAAAACCCCAGCCAAACATAACCAACACCGTGACCCCAGCCAATCAAATTTAAATAAAATTATTTGATGCGCAGTGGGACACTTTGTATATTAACATATGCGAATTCGATGGGAAGTCCTGTTGTTGCCCGTGTAATGATGGAGACGGGTATGCATCAAGATCATAGACGGGTATACCGGTCGGTGTCAGAGCTGGGCGGTACTTAAGTACAAGTACTTGAATATTGTACTGATTGTACTTAAAGTACATTTTGGGTACTTTGTACTTGATACTTAAGTACTTCTTTAAATATGTAGGTACTTGGTACTTCTAACATTCTGATAAAAGTACTCAGTATGGGACTAAAATATAAGTTCCCTTTTTACAATTACTTTATACAAGTTGAGACCTGTCTGCGCCTGCAGCTTGGGCGGTAGCCGATAGCCCACCCTAGGGTATACGTAAAAGGTTTTCCGCGCCATACATTTTGGCCCACAATACGTGTTGTTTATTATGCTCGTGCATTTTAAGCTGAAGTTGAAAGCGGAAGTAGGTTTTCTTCTTTTTCTTCAGGTTTAAATGGCCTTTAGCTTAATTTAAAACTATTTAGCCACCACATTATGTTTAATTTTTTTTTTTAATATGATCAAGGGTCTCAATTAAGAGAATCTGAGATTAACCATTCCTTAAATCAGGGGTTCCCAAACTTATTTACTTTGCGGAGCACTAACAGGTTTGATTTATTTTCACGGCGCCCTAAATAATTGTATTTGAAGAAAAAAAACACGGAAATACAAATAAAGCATTAAATATTTTGTTTTTCTAATACGGGAACCTCGCGACGCCCTTGGGCTACCTTCACGGCGCCCAAAGGCGCCGCGACGCACACTTTGGGAACCTCTGCCTTAAATCATTTATTTACTATTTATCTATATTAGTTTGTATATCCCCATGTTACATTTTTTTCACCAAGCACCACATGGCTGTCTGCACAGAATTTCTTCAATAATTACAATCTTGAATCATCCGTTCCAAGTTTTAAATATTTTAATATATTTATATATTTTTAATAAATACCAGTGAATTTTTACAAAGTAACTTCCCCAGTGATAAAACTGAATTCCAGGGAAGACGGTTTTAAACATGCGCACAAAAATCCCCGAGTCTGATAGCAACTAACAATCGAGCATACTGTTGAATGGATATCGAATATTAAATTACAGGTCCATCTGAGAAAAAGTGTACAATGGAAATGCTTGAATACAGGATTTAAATGTCACACAATATGTGACCCAGGAGACGTGTGACCCAGGGGACAACATTTATGTTTTTAGAACATAACCTTTTTACTGTTTTAAAGATAAAAATTTGCACATTTGCCCTTAAAAATATTCCTAGGATACTTACTTTTGAGAATCAAACAAAGTCCAACTGGTATCTTTACTACTTTTTATCACTGTGACACAGGGGAATTCAGTTTTGCCACGCTTGTTTTAAAAATACAAAAAAACGTGTTGTGGGTTCAAGATAGTTCAAAACACCATTTCCTACTAAAATCCGTTACCAAGTACATTGCCGTAAGGGGCTTTTTCTATAATATTTGGAATTAGGGATAGAACGATATCACTTTTTTTTGCCGATACGATATATCGGCCGATACCGATATTTACGTGCCGATATACCGATATATCGTATAGGCAAACATAATGCCATCTATTTATACACTACCGAAGCAAAAATCGGGGAAGTCCCGTTTTAATTCCGTTGCGAGGAAACGTTTGTGATTGGTAGTGAGTGACATTTCGGATTTCTGGAAAGCCCCTTATACATGTTTTAATACACACTGCAGTGTGTATTAAAACGAATAGATACACTTATTGAGAATTTATAGGTTTTATTTTTATCGAATTCGTTTGTTTTGTTTTAATGCATTTCTGCAAATAAAAACTAAGTATTGTTTAAAATCCATTAAGTATTAAGTATATACTGTATTTAGTACCTGCTACATTAGTTATACGTTATATGTTGTAAGTAGAGATGTAAAAAAACGGTTTTTTTTTTCAGATGTGAAAAAAAACATGAAAAAACCTAGAAAAAAACGTTTTTTTTTTGTTTTTTTTCAAAATGAAATTTTGAGTAAAATATATATTAATAATAAAGTGAAATGTAGAATATATTAAATTTTTCATTATTGAAAATTTTGACCAAGACTAAAAAATCTGATTTCTTATTATTTGGTAGTTTCCACATTAGAAACCAGTAGCATTGTAAAACTTCTACACCAATACAAAAAATTAAAGCATAAAAAAAAATTGTTTTGCGATTCTTCGGACACCTGTATCTTTGTTAAAAATGGTCGTATTGGAGCCGTAAAAAAGGCAATTTGAAGCTTGAAGTTTCTAGTTTTGAGATTTTTATATGAAAAATGTGCAACGCTCAATCCTAACAAATACCGTAATAAAAAAATCGATTTTTTTGGCTTTCTGGTCCATGGAATGTTCTGACTTTACCACCAATGAATAAATGTTTTACAAGAATTTGCTATTGTTTTTTTGAAAAAAAAAATTCCATACTCTACACGAATTTAAAAAATCATGAAAAAAGTACTTTTGGTAGCTTTTTGAAAAATCAAGCGCTGAATCAAAAATATTATATGTAGTTAATTTTTTTAGGACCAAATCAAAACAAGCGCGGCCCTTATTGGTGGTGGCGCGTGCATAGCGTGAGACTGTATTTACATTTACTAATTGTCATTTAGTGGCTAATTTTAGTCCATGAAACCTAAAAAATAAGGCAAATCAAAAAACCGACGTTAGAGGATGCCAATTTACAAAACAACACAACCTCAAACTTGAATGTCATGAACAAAAATCAAAACAAACAAATAATTTCAAAAAAAGAAATAAAAACGGCTATAGAAAAAGCTGTTATGCAGCAAATTACAAATCAAGGCAACGATGAACCCTACACAGAGGTACAACGCAAAAAAAGGAAAATCTCCAGTGTAAAAAACAACAAACTGGCTATTTATACGTCCGACGTATACAAAATTTGGTATACGTCTTGTGCTTCACACGTCACACACTGTAAACTGGTATTATTTTCAAAACAAACGGAATTATTCAATAAGCTCGGTAGCTCCGATGGAAGAGCGCCCGCTTTGTATGCGAGAGATACCAGGTTCGATTCTTGGCGCCAACAACTTTTTTTTTTATTTTTATTTATATAGCGAAAAGAAATATTATTTAATTTTACATTAATATTAATTTTGCTACAGTTATATAATATAATATGTAATTATATGAATATTCCTTCGTTGAAAAATTGGGCGGGGGGGGGGGCAATGGGGCGGGGTCTGTTGGGTTGGGTTGTTGAGTTTGGGTTGGTTTGGGTTGGTTTCGCTCACTTTTGCCCATTTAAGTTGATTGACAGTGAGCGAAACCAACCCAAACTCAACAATGAAAGCTCAAGACGTATACCAAATTTTGTATACGTCGGACGTATAAATAGCCACTTCGAAAAAACAAACCAATTATTGGGAAAATGACGACTGATCTAAAAGGATTAGGCAAGCAAATTTATCTGCATGTGTACAAATTGGACCCGGAAACTACTGTAGAAAAGTTACAGGAAACAATAAAGCCCACTTTTCCTGAAGCAATAGTCGAAAAATTGACTTCCATGTATCCAAATTTTTACTCATCATTTAAAGTAACTATAAAACAGGAAAACTTGGAATCAGCATATAATCCAGAATCATGGCCAGAGGGAGCATGGGTAAACAGGTTTTTTCACCGGAAAAGGACCATGGAGTTATCAAAGTAGTGCCAAAAAAGACATTAGCTATAAATACTGAGAGAGAAACGGTAAGTCTCTTCCATATAAACATATGTAGTCTCCAGAATAAGGTAGATGAACTATCGCTTTTTATTGGTAGTTATGACTTTGGTGTGGTCTGCATATCCGAAGTTTGGTTAGAAAAAAACTTATTGGAAACAATAAACTTAAATAATTATACACTAGCAAGCAGTTTCTGTAGGAATAAGAAAACACATGGGGGGGGTGTCAATATTCATAAAACAGAATATAAATTTTAAACTTATAGATATTAGCCATTATACTATCGAGTTCCACGCAGAATTCTGTGCATCTTACATTGAAGCCATAAACTCACTTGTTGTGTGTTTATACAGGTCTCCCGATGGCGATTTCAATATGTTTCTTGAGGCTTTGGAAAGGCTACTGATCTATGCCTCTAGTAATTTTTATAATATTGTGGTTCTAGGTGACTTCAATATTGACTTTAAGAAAAATTCTTTATGCCAAACTGAATTGGCTAATTTAATACACTCCTTTAACTTAAACATCTGTATTTCAGATTTTACACGAGTAACAAATCACTCAGCAACGTGTATTGACAACATACTTACAAATCTG